TTTTATTGTTTGAGCTCGTGTTCGTGTTCGTCTCGTTTAGGCTCGATTAAGCTCGTTCAAGCTCGTTTGTCTTATTTTTTTAAATTTATATATAAATTATAAAGAAAATTTAAAATTATTTTATTTATATACTTTAAATTAATATTTTATTTATTTTTAAATTTTAATTTTATATGTATATATAATATTTGTAATAAATATATTATTTTAAACGAACGTTCGCGAACAAAGCTCGGGCTCGTTCCTTAACCAAATGAGTCTATTTATGTTGTTCGGCTCGGCTCGTTAACGTTCACGAACAAGCTTTAACCGAGTCGAATCAAGCCAAACCGAGCCGAGTTCACGAACGGCTTGATTCATTTTACAGCTCTATATTTAAGGCATTAGAAAAAAATAAAAAAAAAAGAAAAAAAAAAAAAAGAGAGAATTGACAAAAGAGACATGTTATGTGATCACTGTAAAAGACAGGATACACCAAGGAAACATGTTTCAAGTTGCATGGAACTCCTAAATGGTTTAAAGCTATGCAGGAAAAACGAAAGAACGAAGGAACGTAAAAACATATATTTTAAAATTATATTTATTTTAAAAACATGTTCTCTCGTTTTTTGTCTTTTATTTATCTCGTTGACAAAATATATTTTAGGCGTTTGCAAAAGTCGGCATTTTTGTTCTCCAGCAACGTGTTGAACAATAGTCATATAAATATGATACGCGGTTGAAGAACAAAAATGACGACTTTTGCAAATATATATGATATATTTTGTAAAAAAATAAAAATAAAAAATAAAAATAATAATTAAATATATGTACAATATATTTTTTTTTTTGGCAATTTTTTCTGAGATTAATTATTGTCTAATTTAAAAAATAAAAAGAACTTCATATACTCTGTAAAAATAGCAAGCTTAAAAATAAATATTTCATTAAGAATTGATAAGTAAAAATGTAATTGTTGGGATGATAAGTAAATAACTATTCAATAAAAAATAATAATTAAATATCGAGGGTTTGTTTGTCTCTTTTTTTTAAAACTTTTTTTTATATAATTTTAATATCGAAAAAATGATTGCAAAACAAACTCATTGATATTTCTACTTTTTTTATAATTAGTAATTGTATAATTTAATGACAGAAGTAAAAATAAAGAAAAAAAATTGACAAGTAATATTTTATTTAACAAAAAAATTATATTAAAATATTATTTAACTTGAAAAAAAAAATAAATAACGAACAAACTTGAATTCAATTATAAGCAAAACAAATAGACCGTACTGTTTTGAAGTATGGGACTAGAGTTGGAAATGGATCGATTCGTGTCGAGTTGAATACTTTAAACGGGTTAAATTATTCAACCCTAACCTGACCCGTTTATTATCGTATCGGGTTCGTGTTAATCCGGTTATTATCGTGTCGGGTTCAAGTTGACTCGTGTTGACCCGTATACATAATTAAGTCGAATTTTTTTATTCAAATTAAATAATTTTTTGTTATGTTGTCGTGTTAGTTTTTTATTGGTTTGAGCGTAAATTACGTTGAATTATTTGAAATTGAATTTAGTTTAAATTAATTTATGAAAAAATTATTAAATTATGATTATTTTATATATATATATATAATAAATATATTAATCAATATTAATATATTATAATCATATTGCCGTGTCAGGTTCGAGCTAAGAGTCTCAATTCTAACCCGACCAGTTTACTATCATGGCAGGTTCGTGTCAACCCGTATGCATAATCGAGTTGAAATTTTTGACCCAAACTTAATTATTTCGTATTGAATCATATTGATTGTCGTGTCGGGTCAATTTTTGCGGGCACTACATGGGACGAATATAGGCAAAGAAAAGCCGAGTTGAATTATCATTTATGATGCTCAACTCAAATATAGGAATAGGACTAATTCATTTGAGGGACGAAAACCATATGTCATTAGAACTTTAAATACTCCTCAATTAAGCTATTTTATAGAAATTTTTTTAAAATTTTTTCTTTTCACCGTACTTATTAATAATAATTTTTTTTAAAAAAAAAAAAACAATATTTCATACAATACTTTGTTCGTCCCCGAACAATATTAGTACGTTCTATAACAAATGATATATTTCTATATTTGATAAATTTAATTAATTTAATATATATTTAATAAATATAAATCAATTTAATTAAATTTAGAGTAAAAATTACAATGATCATTTTTTTGTCTGACTGAAATTTTTTTATCAATATTGATCTTATACAAACTACAATTTATCAAATTTTAATCTAATGGTAATTGACAAAACTGAAAATGATTATGTTGGCCTGAACACGACCGTATTAAATTATTAACAAATGTGACTGGCCTGGGCAATCCAGACAATCAACACCCGTGTTCATTATCATGTACTAAATATGTCTTGTTCATGCCCCTTTACGGTCGTGTTCTTGCGCGGATATATTCTCAACACAGCCATGTTCATGCCCATTTTTACGACCATATTCTCAACACACTCATGTTTTTTCCGATGTTCGCGACTCTATTCTTAATATGACCATATTTTGAACCATGTTGACTGTTTTGAATATGACATATTATAGGTCATATTCGTTATTTTTTTCACTTTTTTGTTTAAATTATTAGATATGTATGTTTATATTTTAATGAAAATATTTTATACAATTATTTAAAAATATTAAATTTTAATATTTAAAAAAAAATAATTGCAAAAACTTATAAAAATAATAAATTAATATATAGTTTTAATAATCATAATTATATATAAATTTTTAAATATAATAAAAATTTAAAAATAATTTAAATTTATAAATCTAAAAATAAAAAAATATAAATATTATTTTAAATAAATTTTATTGTAACTAGAAAATTTATAATCATTCATTAATTATATTAATTATTGATACATTTTCAAATTTTTCTAGTTACAATATTATAATTTTTTAAATAATATTATATTTTTTATATTTTAGATCATAAATTAAAATAATTCTAAAAATTTATTATAAATTTTGAAAAATATATAATTATAATTATTAAAATATAAATTTATTTTATTATCTTTATATATATTTTTCAGCTATACCATAAAATATTAAATTTTGATTATTTTATATTTTTAAACAATGTAAAAAATATTTTTTTAATTATAAATATACATATCTATCATATAATTTAAACAAAAAATAAACATGATAATGAATATAACCTAAAATATGGATATATTGAGAACAAGATCGTGAAATGGGCACAAACATATGTGTTGAGAACATATTCATGAACATCGCTGTTGAGAATATGGGAAGGAACATGACCTTTCTCATAACATGACCATGAACAGGGACATAAACACGATCATATTCAGTGCAGGATAATGAACACGACCTTATTATGTGAGTTACCCAATCACGTTTCTGAATCATCCAACATTGTTTTGTTCAATTCCGGCCATGGGATTAATATCATACATTACATAAAACTAACTTAAAACCTCTTTGTTTATATCTTTTTCATCCCTAAACAAATATTTTTATTTATAATTTAAATTTTTCATCTTTTATAAAATTAGTTTACGTTAATCATAAATAAATAAATATATTTTTTATTTATTTGTATTATATAACATTTTATTTTTTTACAAAATAATATACATATTGCATATATTTTATTAAAATATAATTTTTAAAATATTTAAAATACATATTTTAAACATTTTTTTAATCATATATATTATTTTTTATTTTAAAATTACTAGCTATACCCTTCATACAAATAATAATAATAATAATAAATTAATATCATAATATATTATTATTAATTAATTAAATATTATCATATTTAAAATTATATCCCTAATAAAAAAAAATATATCATTTACAACAAAAACGAAAGAGTAATTATTTGTCATTTAAAATATTATATTAATTTTTTATTTTTTTTTATGTGTATCCCAATTGATTGATTCAAATAAATAAATGATTTGATTATCATATATGATAAAAAATAAATAAATAACATATGTTTTTTTTTTTTTAATAACCGGACTCGTAGCCGCTGTCAAAATAAAAATGCGCACCAGATAAAACCCGACCAAACCTATGCAATAACAAATTGCATATTATATTATAATATGTTAGTGTGTATATAATATAAGTTGTCTATGCTAAATGTACTTCGATCCGCCAATTTTTTTTTTGATCAGTTCGTTAAATTTATCTTATTATTATATTTGAGAAAGTCAAATAGTCAAAATTTAATTATTATTTTTTATTTTATACTTATTTATAACAAATATTATTAATTTTATTACATTATTTTTTTATTCTCTTTGATTACTAGCTAAGTTTTTAAAAATACCTCTAACTATACTTTATGACAATAAAAATTGGATGAAATAAGTAATATAATTCAACAATTTATTCCCCAGCTACTGCAATTAACACTTTAATTTAGTATTCATACTTAGTTCATATAGCTATTAATCAAACCGAGCAGTTTGTGAACTCAGCTTGGTTAAAGTTCTTTTACGAATACTAATGAGCTGAGTCGAATAACATAAACAGACTCGTTTGATTAATGAACAAACCCGAACTTTGTTCGCTTAAAAATATTATATATACATATAAAATTATAATTTATAAATAAATAAAATATTAATTTAAAATAAATAGATAATACTCCATCAGTTAACCTCTAAGGTCGTATTTATCTTTTACATTATTGTACTTAATATTAAAAATATCCTTATATTTGTATATTTTTTTAAATAAATATTTTTTTATTAGTATTATAAGAAATACTTTTATAATTTTTTTTTTAATTTGTAGTACGTTTTGATATAATAATTAATATTAAAAAATCAAGATTACAAAAATTAAATTGAATCTTAGAGCCACTAGAGGTTGTATATTTTTAATTTTTTAAAAATTTATAAATAAATATTTTTTTAAAAAAAGAAACGAACTCGAACTAGTATAAACGAATCGAACACAAAGACGAGCTCAAACAATAAAAATCTTTAACGAGCCGAGCTCAAAAGCTTAATTAATAATTACGAGTCTTGTTTGCTAACATTAATAATAACCGAACACACACTTAAAATTCGGCTCGACTAGTTAACCGCTCTACTCGTTCATATAATTTCATTTTTTTTATATCCAAAACCCAAAACAAATCAAGAAAAAACAAAAAGCACAAGGAAATAGTAAAATATTTGTTCAGTCGAGTTTGTAAGTAACAGTGACGACCTCAGAATGTGTAGTTTGGCTTAAAGCCTTTGGGACCAACGACAGCAGCTTTCTCACCATTGTCGTCTTCTCCAATGGCCATGGCTTCTTCCCCTACTTCATCTTCTTCCTCTTCCTCGAACGCCGGATGGCTCAGAATGCTGCTCAGCAGCTGCGTCCCTCTCAGGGCGTTCGTCAGCGGCAGATGACCCTCCGGCGCCGGCGGCGACGCCTCCCACACGAACTCCGCCGGAAATGACCGGTAATTGTACTGCTCCACCTCCGACCCCTCAAGCTTCTTCATCCACCCGACTTTTATGAAGAATTTCGTGAAATCTCTCTTCGATTTCTCCCAGATCCGCTTCTGGACGGAGTATCCGTACCGGCCGCCGCTGTGGTCGCGCCAGAGGTCGTCGACGGCGCGGAGGTCGCCAGCGGGGATGAACTGGACTTCCGAGAAGAACACGTAGCCGCGCTTCTGGGCGGCGTCGCCGGCGAGGGCGATCAGGAGGCGGCGGGTCTCCTCGTCCGCCTGCCGGAAGTTTTCCGACGACAAATGCTGCCGGAGGAGGTCGAAGGAGACGACGTCGGAGGCGGAGGCCTCCGCCGCTGCGGAGGTGGATGGCGCGGCGGCGGAGAAGGAGGAGGAGGAGTGGGTGAAGAGGGCGCGGCGGGAGGCGGTGGAGGAGGGTTTGAGTGAGAGTGAGGTGGCGGCGGCGATGGGTGGGCAGTCGTGGTGGCGGCGGCGGAGGGAGTGGTGGTGGACGGGATTGAAGGCGTTGGCGGCGGCCATTGTTGAGGTGGCGGAATTGAAAAAAAAGATGGAATATTTGGGGAGTAAAGAATGGAGTTTGTTTTTGTGAAGATAAGAAATATGGATTTGTGGCGAGGAAGAGAGAAGGGTAAAGAAAAGGGGGGTTGGAGAAATAAATAGGCGGAATCTGATTGGCTGAGGGTCGATACTTGTGATCCTTTAATCCGTTCTTTCCGCTACACGACAAAATAGCATGTACGCAGTTCCACTTTCCTGCCTTGCCCCTTCTCCATCTTCTTTGCCTGCCATTCTTTGATTTGGTATTCTATTTCCGTTTTTGAATATCTCTATTATTTTTTATTATTTATATTATTTTTTTATTTTATATTTGTAACAAATATTTATCCTAATTTTTTAATAAATTTTTATTTTCCTATTATATATATATATATTATTTTTTAATTATAATTATAATTTTTAGTATTAATTATTTATTAATTATTATATTATATTATTATTTGTCAATATTTTGATTTATTAAAAAATTATGGAAAAAAGTTATATTATTTATTATTTAATTAAATTTAGTTTTAATTTATTTTTAAATTTTAATTTTAAGATCAAACTTGTATTTTTATTATTATAATTATTATTGGTTAATTAAAAAAATAAAATATAAAAATAATAATTAAAATAGAATTATATAATATTTGTATTTATATATTTTAAATTTTAAATTAATAAAATATATTCAATATTGGTATCATTTTGTAGAATACAAAATATTATGAATTATAAAAATATTACAAAATTTTTTTGCTAAATAGTAGAATTTTAGACAAAATCTTCCGAAAGAACATACTCGATAAATACTTATATTTGAACTAAAATTGATATATTTTAATTATATTATTATTATTATTATTATTTTTCATTTTAACTATATCAACTATTCTAAATTAAAAAAAAAATTAAAAATATAACAAAAAATTAAAATTTTAGACCGAAACAGAAAGATACACGGCCGTGTAGAATTATACATTGCTGTGTAACAACATGATCATGTATAATTATACACTGAAATATACATGGTCATGTAACAACATGGCCGTGTAACAACATAACTATGTATAATTATACACTGAAATATACATGGCCATGTAACAACATTGTCGTGTATAATTGTACATGGTCTTGTAACAACATGGTCATGTGTTAACTGCCACGTCACCTCCGTCATGTCCACGTCAGCAATTTCCGTTAGTTTTTTAACGGTGGGACCAAAATTGATAAAAAATTGTTTATAATGAGACCAAAATTGATTAAAATTGTTTATATTGGAACCAAATTTTATCAATTTTGGTTATATTAGAACCAAAATTGATGAATTTTTTATATTGGGACCAAAATTGATTAATTTTGATTATATTGAGATCAAAATTGATTTTTTCCCTAACAATAAATTAAATATAAATTACAAAAACAAAACATATATAATATATATCATATATATATATACATATATATACATAAATGTCATGTGTCCCAAGGCACATGACATTTGAACAATATCTTCCCAGCATCTCTGCAAAGATGTCCGGAAGCAAGCATCTATCATTTTTTATTTTTTATTTTTTAAAAAAAATTGTGACGTGAGGTGTCTCCTCACCATTGCGGATGATCTAAGGTTTTTTTTTTGGAATGTTAATTCAAATAATGTTTTCCAAATCCTCGTCAGTCTCGGTTACATTTACCTTTTTCGTCATTCTATTTAACATTAAAAATATTTATATTATTTGTATTTTACAAATATTTTTGCAATAATTTTTTAATTTATACTATATTTTGATATAATAATTAATATTAAAAGTCAGAACACAAAAAGTAAATAAGACTCTTAAGCAACAGCACAACACATAGGTAGTACTATATTTTAAGAGAAATTATTACTAACTTCGTTTTATTGTAATGTACTTTTTCCGTCTCACCTACCATATCCACATTGTCGTTTATGTCCGTCTCATATCTCATGTCACTTTTTTTTAAAGAAAATAATTAAACAACTTATTCTTATTTTAAATTTTTTAATTTTAATTTTTTAATTATAGTTAAACTAATTAATTATCTTGATCTTAATTTATAATTATTTATATTATAGTGTAATTATTTTTACTAATATATTCTTAATTATTTACTAATTATACTTATTCTAAATTTTTATGTCTACGGTAACGCAAATATCCAATGTGGAACGGCTAGAGTATTATTTTTGAATTTTATAGTAGGTTAAAAAAATGTTTCCTCTATCCCGTAAATTAGAGGATTAGTGTTCGGCACAAACATTAAAAAAATAAATATTTATTGAAAATTTGATAAAAATAAAAATATAGTTGGAGATTTTTTTTTGAAAATTTAGTTAGAATTAAAGAAAATGACGAAAATGACGAGAAATAATGTATTAAAGGTAGTGATATTAATAGTATTGAATAAAGGCGTTGGGGTTTGAACCCATGACCTTAAGTGCCACAATTCTTGCCGGTACAAAGTTGATACTTGGGGTGTGTTTGTTTGGAGGTTTGGATTTTGAGTTGAGATTTAAATAGTAAAAATTTTGAATTTGAATAGTTGTATGATGTGATATAAATAGATGTTGATGTAATGTTTTAAATGTAAAATTGATTTTTAGTATAATATAAAAAATAAAAAATTAAGTGTTTGATTTGATATTTTTTGGGAGAAAAAATTGGATAAATAGTGGAAATCTAATCCAATCCCCCAAACAAATATTATTATTATTAGTTTTTTCTTTTACTTTTTAGTCTAAAATTATAATTTATATTTTCCACCCCACCCCTTCCTCTATTTTTTAAGAATAGTGACGGAGTGTCTTGACGAAATACTCCTTCTATCCCAATACAATAGTCTTATTTATTATTTTTATCTGTCTCAAAACAATATTTTTATTTTGATAAATAATCATACTATAAAACTACATCTATTTTTTCATTTTTATTACACAATTGTCACTATTTTTTACACTAATACACTCACAAGGGCAAAAAAGTCTTTTATTCATACTTTTTATCAATTATCAATATAATATCAATATTCCTTAAATCTCGTACTCAAACCAATTAAGACTATAGTTATGGAAGGAGTATATATTATCTCCCAAACTTGATTTACAGCATCCAGTGCTATTCCTTATCGGTTAGAGTCTTTTTTATCGTCGTCTTGTCTGCCGGTGCCCTTCTTTCCCGTTTTCTTTGTTCAACTTGCTTGTATTTTTTATTTTTTTTATTCTACTGATTTTTTCCGCAAAACTTTCAGCTAGAACTCCGTCATCGTCATCCTCCTCGCCGGCCATCTTCATCTTCAGGTATGTGATTGTTAATTTTTTGAATAGTAAAATTTTGAATTAAAATATTTGTTTAATATGATATAAATATCTATTTATGTGATATTTTAAATATAAAATTTAATTTTAGAATAATATAATAAATAAAAAAATATATTTAATTTGATATTATTAGAGAAAAAAAAATTGAATAATAAAATTGAAAATCAAAAGTGACAAGTAAACACACATATTTCAACCATAGATCATAACTAATTTTTCTCTAGAATAAAATATTTTGAATATGTGGATAGTTATTGCATTGGTTATGATTGATTTGTCTATGCTAGTACAAGTAAAATAAGTATATTTTTATTTAATACAATATATATTAAGTTAAATAAAATTTATATGGATTGTTGAAATAAAAGCACGTGTTTTCATATTTACATAGTTTTGTGTGAATTTTTGTAATGAAATCAATAATAGTAAATGTTATGCTATGTGAATTATTTCATGTGTTGTTTAGTGTATTTGTTTTATGTTACTATATATTATATATTCTCTATTGAATCATGTAACATATTATATAATTATAATATATGCTACCAAGATATATGTAATTATATCATGAACGAGATGGGATCACCTGCCCCTCCCATTTACTTCCCTTCCTTATATTAATAATATTATATATATATATATGATATATGAATATAGATACATGTGTTCAGTTCCGATCAATCACCTTCTGTTATATGTATTTTTAAAACAAAACAAATAATAAAATAAAAAGCTTAAATACACATGACATAAGGTAATTAATCGATTCAAGAGAGAGAGAATTTTTTGAAATAGAATAACTGAATCCATATATATACATACTGTTGAAATGTAACTTGGATTTAGCGGTCTACCCGACCCGAAATCAAGGCGAAAAGACTGTTTCAATTGGCAGGGTTCCTTTTGAGCTTATCCTAATTAATAACAAATAGATTTAGGGTTTAAGGTGTTTTGGAGTGCTTATAAATAGATAGCTATGATTCCTAGTCGTATGACATAATTGTAAATCTCTGAATCAGTATAATAAAATCTCTCCGGTTCCTGCCCGTGGACGTAGGTTGACACACCGTCACCGAACCACGTAAAATCTTTGTGTTCTTTATTTGCTTTCTTTCTCGTTTTCTCATCACAAGTGGTATCAGAGCCATATCTCATTGATTGAAGATGTCCTCGTATAAGTTTGATCTGGAGAAGTTTAATGGGTCGAATGACTTCACGCTCTTGAAAGTTAAGATGAGGGCACTTCTGGTTCAACAAGAATGTGCGACTGCGTTGAAAGGAGAAGACAAATTTCCTAAAGACACGAAGGAGGAGATAAATAAAGAGATTTTGGCAATGGCTCATTTCGCAATATTACTGTCAGTTACTGATGAGGTGTTACGGGAGGTTGTAGATCAGACAATGGCTTTTAGGTTATGGAATAAACTGTGTGAGAAGTACCAAAACAACTCTCTCACGAACAGGCTATATCAGAAGCAACGTCTTTACACCCTCCGGATGTCCGAAAGTACTCAAGTAAAGGATCATCTTAATACTTTTAACCGTATCATTCTTGATCTTCAAGAGGTTAAAGTAGATGATGAAGATCAAGCCCTAATTTTACTATGTTCACTATCTGGTTCATATAAGAATTTTGTAGATACTATGCTATATGGTAAAACTACAATTTTTGTTAATGATGTGAAAGATGCCCTTATGTCCAAAGAATCAAAAAGAAATGTTTCTCTAGAAGAGAGTTCTGGTTCAGATTTGTTTGTAGGTAGGGGAAGAACACAGGAGAGAGGTAATGGGAATGAGAAGTCAAGTTCAAAATCAAAATCCTCTAACAAAGTTAAGTGTTATCTTTACAAGGAGAAGGGGCACGTTAAAAGAGATTGTCCACATAAGAAGAGAAATACAAAAGTTGATTCTAGTAACAGTGGCAGCAGCGCTGCTGTGGTACAAGACAGTTCTGATGATGGGGACTTTGGTGAAGTTCTTATAGCGTGTAGTGCTAGTACTGCTGATTCCTGGATTATGGATACTGGTGCTTCTCACCATATGACGTTTTCTCGTGATCTACTCACTTCTTTTAAGGAGTGGAATGGAACAGTGAAGTTAGGTGATGATGGGGTTCTAGCCATAAAGAGAAGTGGGATAGTGCAGATAAAATTGCATGACGATACTGTTAGGAAATTTGACTGTTGGTATGTTCTTGAACTCAGAAAGAATTTCATTTCTCTTGGCACCTTAGCCAAGAATGGTTTAAAATATCATTGTGAAGGTGAGTGGGTGAAAGTCCTGAAAGGTGCTTTGGTAATGATGAAGGGAAAACTGTAGCATGAAATTTATTTTATACAGGGCAGTTCAGTGGTGGGAACGGCGACGGTATCCTAGTCCTTGGATAAACATGATGACATGATAAATTTGTGGCACCGTCGATTAGGTCACATGAGTGAGCTTGGGTTGTCTGTGTTGAGCAAGCAAGGTTTATTTTGTGGGGATATGATAGGTAAAATTCAATTATGTGAGGCTTGTGTAAAAGGGAAGTAACGCAGGGTGAGGTTTAGTACCGGTCATCACACTTCAAAAGAAATTCTGGAGTATGTTCATTCAGATCTATGGGGTCCTTCTCCGGTGAAATCGCAGGGTGGGTGTTCTTACTTTGTCACTTTCATAGATGATTATTCGAGAAAAGTTTGGTTATACTCTTTGAAGACTAAAGATGAGGTGTTTAAGAAGTTTAAGGAGTGGAAGACCATGGTTGAAAAACGGACGGGTAAACAAGTCAAGACTCTAAGAACGATAATGGGTTAGAGTTTTGCAACGCTCCATTTGATGATTTCTGCAAGAAAGAAGGTATAGTGAGGCACCACACTGTACGACACACACCACAACAAAATGGAGTTGCAGAGCGAATGAACCAAACCCTCATGGCGCGTGCTAGGTATATGCGCATATTTGCTGGCTTATGTAAACAATTCTAGGCTGAAGCAGTTAACACTGCTAGTTATCTGATTAATAGATCTCCATCAACTTCAATTGACTTAAAGACTCCTTAAGAGTTATGGTCCGGTAAACCCTCTGATTACTCTAATATAAGAATATTTGGATGTCCTACATACGCTCATGTGAATGATGGTAAGTTGGAGCCGAGGACGGTAAAATGCATATTTCTAGGATATGCAACATGAGTAAAAGGTTATCGACTGTGGTGTACAGAAGGAAAAAATCCTGGTAAATTTTTTATTAGCACAGATGTAATCTTTGATGAATCTGTTATGCTTGATCAGCGTAGAGGTTGTGAAAGTATTGCAGGTATAAAAGATTGTGGTGCTGACCAGAGGGTGAAGTTTGAGACTCCTGATAGAGTTGTGTTAGAGGAAGAGCAGCAGGATAATATTATTGATCAATCCGATCAACCAGATCAGTCAAAACCTCAAGGGGACCTGGTTGAGGGTGGAGCTGATGACGCTGGTACTGGGGTTGAAGATTCCATAGCAGCAAGAAAGGGAAAGAGAAACATTCAGAAACTAGCTAGGTTTGCAGGATGTGTCAATACATGTGACATGAATTCTGTGGCTTATACACTGGCGGTTGGTGATGATCTTGGCTCTGATGAGCCAAAGACATATAAAGAAGTTGTGGCGAGTAAAGATGCAGAAACCTGAATTATGGCAATGAATGAAGAGATGCCGTCTCTTGTAAAAAACAAGACTTGGGATCTTGTTGCACTACCAAAATGGGTGAAGCCAATAAGATGCATGTGGGTCTTTAAAAGAAATGAGAGAATTCCTGGTGTTGAACCTGCTAGGTTCAAGGCGAGACTAGTGGCAAAAAGGTTCTCATAGAAGGAAGAAATAGATTACCATGAAATCTTTTCTCCTGTGGTGAAGCACAAAACCATTCGGGTTCTTTTGGCAATGGTGGGTGCTTTTGATCTGGAGCTGGAGCAGCTTGATATCAAAACAACATTCCTCCATGGTAATTTAGAATAATAGATTTACATGTCTCAACTGGAGGGGTTCTACAGTTCTAAAAGGGACCAGGTATGCTTGTTAAATAAATCTTTGTATGGCTTGAAGTAGTTTCCGAGGTAATGGTACAAGAGATTTGACTCTTTCATGGTGTCTAATAGTTATACTCGTAATCAGTTTGATAACTGTGTTTACTCGAAGAAAGTTTCCATTAATTCCTTAGTGTATCTGCTGTTGTATGTGGATGATATGTTAATTGCAGTTAAAAACATTTATGTAATTAATAACTTGAAGGCTCTACTAAAGGGTTATTTGAGATGAAGGATTTGAGTGCGGCAAAGAAAATACTTGGTATGGAGATCTGGCGTGATAGAAAAGCAAGACGGCTATGGGTTTCTCAAGAAAAGTATATTGAGAAAGTTTTGCAGGCATTCTCTATTGATCAGTCCAAACCGGTAAGTACCCCTTTGGCGGCACACTTTAAACTTGATCGAAGCACTATACCGGCTACAGATGAAGAGGTTAGCTACATAAAGACGGTTCCATATTCAAGTGCAATTTGAAGTCTTATGTATGCGATGGTATGTACGAGACCGGATCTCGCTTATGCGGTTAGTGTGGTGAGCAGATTTATGGCTAATCCGGGTAAAGTTCACTGGGAGCTGTAAAGTGCATCTTGTGATATTTGAAAGGAGCGTCTGATATTTGTCTAGTATATGATGATAAAGGCCAAGGTGATGGTCTTGTTGGCTATACAGACTCTGATTACGGGGGTGATTTGGTGAAACGAAGATCACTGACTTGCTTTATCTTTACTCCGTTTGGATGTGCAGTCAGTTGGAAATCTACTTTACAACCTACGGTTGCACTGTCGACGACTGAGGCGAAATACATGTCAATGACTTAAGGTATTAAGGAGGGCATCTGGTTACATGGTCTGGTGCAGAGTTTGGGTCTGAAGGTGGAGAAACCGGTGTTATTCTGTGATAGTCAAAGTGCTTTGAGTTTGGCTAAAAATCCAGTGTATCACGAGAGAACCAAACATATTGATGTAAGATTGAATTTTATCCGTGATGTTCTGGAGGAAGACAGGTTTTCTATTCAGAAAATAGCTACATAACACAATCCAACTGATATGTTGACAAAGGCGCTACCGACGGAGAAGTTTGAGCACTGCTTGAACTTGGTGAATATTCGCGGGAGGTAAAGTCCTCTCGGGGCATTTGGCAGGAAGGAGACGACTGATAGATACTAACAAACCTTTGGCGGTTGGAGAAACTCCAAGTCAAGGTGGAGATTGTTCAAAAGTAACTTGGATTTAGCGGTCTACCCGACCCGAAACCAAAGCGAAAGGGCTGTTTCAATTGGAAGGGTTCATTTTGGGCTTATCCTAATTAATAATAAATAGGCTTAGGGTTTAGGGTGTTTTGGGTGCTTATAAATAGATAGCTATGGTTCCTAGTCGTATGACATAATTGTAAATCTCTGAATCAATATAATAAAATCTCTCATGTTCCTGCCCGTGGACGTAGGTTGACACACCGTCACCGAACCACGTAAAATCTCTATGTCTTTTATTTGCTTTCTTTCTCGTTTTCTCATAACACATACACATACATATATATACATATATTATATGTATTTATATATCATATACATATATATATATATGGATGCCAACGTGACGGGTTCGGGACGTGTTTTGCAGGCCCCGAGATTCGCCCCGCCCCGCTTCAACCCGACCCCAGGACCCGTCCCGCCCCGAACCCCCTAACCCGGCAAACTTGGCTTTTTTTTTTTAATTATTATTTTTAAGAAAAGAATAAAATAATTTTTTTAAAAAAATAATTTAATACTAAAAAAAAAAGTATGCATGAAAGTACCAAAAAATTATAGTTCTAAAAATAAGAACAATCAAATATTGACGATAGTCCTAGTGATGACGGTCGACAGTAGTCCCAATTATAAAGAGAATTGGAGGATAAACAAATACATTTAGAATTAATATTCTATTTTATATTTAATTTTTTTAAATAAATAAATAATATAATTTATATTGTATAAAAATATAAATAAATGATAATAATTATTAAAATATTCGGGTTCGGGTCCGAATTCGAATCCGAATCTGGGTCCAAAGTAAGACAAATTTATGATAAAACTCGTAACCCGTCGTAACCCGTTCCGAACCCGGCTGGATCTAAGACTCAAATTCCATAACTTGCCCCAAATCAAATTTTTTAAACCCGAGTTAGAGGAAGCGTAGACTAGAGTTACAGGCCGTAATCCCATCCTTAGAGACTCGGGAATTTGAGAATTTAAAAAGGATATAATTAATAAATTATTATCTAACATCAATTGGCGATAATTTTCAAATTAAAGAAATGTACCAAACCAAACACATAAATGTCAACGGATAATCAATCTTATATCCGCTGGCCGGCCATCATTTTTCCAGCTGGTTTCTCTCCAAGGGAACACGTCGATCACACTGCGGAGTCCACAGAGAGAATGAGTGGAAGAGAGCAAGTGGTGTGCGTAACGGGAGCATCGGGTTACATCGCATCATGGCTGGTTAAGACGCTGCTGGAGCGCGGTTATACTGTTAAAGCCACTGTCCGCAATCTCCGTAAGTCATCTTCCTCGTATCTTTTATGATTATGGTGTTTACAATCGCGCGAGCATGTTTTGATATGGTTTTATGGATTGGATTGATTCGGTTTAGGAAGAACTAGAAGCGAATGATTAGGAGAGGTTTCCTGTGAAACTTGGGGGAGAAGACGTAGGTTTAAACGACTTTTTGTCGGCTAGCTAATTTAATTGTAGTTGTTGTCTGCCGGAATTTGAGATTTTTGACCTGAATTCGTTGAATTTTGAACTTGTGTCGGTGGTTTCAATGGTCACAGGGATAGTTGATTAAACAAAACAAAGAATAAGATCACAAAAGGTTTGGCACATTCTGCGAAGACGTATTGTCTTTCATGCGTAAAACGACCACCATCTTCACATAGGGTGTCAATTCTTGTTTTTGGGTCGTATTCGTGTCGGGTTGACTCATGAGGATAACGAAAAAACTGTCAACCCGAACCCGACCTAAACCCGAAATCTGACCTGAAACCCTAGATCCGAACACGACACGAATTCTTTCAGGTCGGGTTCAGGTTGACCCGAATTAGTTTCAGGTCACCCGAAATACGAATAAACCCGATACGAACCCTGCACGAAACAGACCTGAAAATTTTAAAAAAATTAAATTGACCTAAAAAATATCATTTTTATTTTAATTTTTATATTATTTTATATTTAAAATAATATAAATATTATAAATAAAATAATAATAATAAAAATTTCATGTCAACCCGAAACACTAAACACGAAACCCAAAACCTAACCTGATTTTGATATTTCAGGTTATCAGGTCAACCCGAAACACGACCCGAACACGACACGAATTTTTTTCGTTTCAGGTTTGGGTCGACCTGATTTTTTTCAAACCCGAAATACCAAAACCCGAACCTGAAAAATTTCAGGTCGAACGGGTTCGTTTTTCGGGTCGGGTTTACTTTTGACACCCCTATCTTCACAGTGAGGTGAACCTTGAAGTTAAAAATAAAACTGAAATTATGCATTGCTTTGTATGAACATTGATTGTTGTTATGTCTTTCCAAGAAGTGCAATGAAGTATGTGATTAAAGAGAATAGATGATGATTCTCTAATGTCATTCTTCTACTTTTGGCAACGTTGATCAATTACGACCACTGACAGTAAATAAATGCTCATTAAAAGAAATAAATAAATAAAGGCTGTTCTATCTAATTCATTCGGAGTAGCACAGGTGATCCAGCAAAAATTGATCACCTAAAGGCACTTGAAGGAGCTGAGGGAAGATTACACTTGTTCCAAGCTAGCTTAACTGAAGATGGATCATTTGATTCAGTAGTTGATGGTTGTCAAGGTGTATTCCACACAGCTTCGCCTTGCTTCGTTTCAGCTTCTGATCCACAGGTCTACAATCTTACTTTTGATTTTCATGCCTAAGTCATATATCCCTTCTCTATGAAATTAACTATTAGTATTAATTTAGCACGTGCAATAAGCTATAAGACATCACAGGCTGAGAAATAGATAAACCCACTGCCATTCTAGTAAGGATTGACTATAGTTAAGCCTGCATTATGCTCATCATCGCAGCATTTTAAAAGCATCTTCATGAATCCTTATTTACTTTATTTTTGCCATTAGCTCTTTGAACATACAAGTGAGCTACACATCAAATTGTGTGAGAAGCGCATATTTGTGCAAAACATGGTCCGAAACAATAATCATTTATGAAAATCCAATGAATTGTACTTCCTTTTATAATTGGATTAGTGAGGATTAATAATATAGAATCAGATACTCTACTGGACTCCCTATCCATTTTATAACTGTTTCATTTTGCTCAATTTTGTGCAAGTTTTAGTCAGAGTTGATAGAACCAGCAGTCAAAGGAACACTTAATGTTCTCCAATCATGCAGAAAAGCACCATCTGTTAGGCGAGTGGTTTTAACATCCTCTGTAGCTGCACTTTCATACAACAGAAACCCCAAAGGTGCCGATGTCCTAGTAGATGAAACTTGGTTTTCAGACCCGGAATACTGCAGAGAGATTGAGGTTAGATCAATCATGTCAGATTAGAGATCCACACTTTGACTTTTCATGAATTTAAATTACCTGTTTCCATTAACTTCAATCTTGGCCACCCTTCTATGCTGGTTTATTATATATTTTCATGCCAATAGGGAAATTGTTTCAGGTATAAAATCATAGCTATAATCTAGTTTTTACTGTAAGATAAACATGTCCATAGTTGGTTGTTAAAATGTTGATTAATCACTTCTAAAATTACTATGCTCTGAGTTCATGTACGTGCAAGAATGTATGTAATTCCTACGTGTATCTTTGATGTGCCATGGTACTAATAAGCTTAAAATGCTTCTTTCAGCAATGGTATCTGCTTTCAAAAACCTTGGCAGAGAGAGCTGCATGGGAATTTGCAGAACAAAATAGAATCGACTTAGTAGCATTGCTTCCTGGGCTGGTCCTTGGCCCTCTTCTTCAGCCTAGTCTTAATTTCACATCTCGTGTATTCATCGACATCACTGAAGGTAGCATCCGTTGGCAATGAGGTTTACTACATCCATTATTTTATATTACACATGCAGCCGACATGTTTGATCACAGATTTATATTGAATGCAGACTGAATCTTTATCATGCATATTTTACAGGGAATGAACAGGGCCCTCCATATCAATTCGTTGACATTAGAGACGTTGCATATGCCCACGTTGCTGCTTTTGAGAATCCTTCAGCTAACGGCAGATATTGTGTGGTTGGAACAGTGATAACACATTCAGACACAATGAAAATTTTGCAGAAGCTTTATCCTTCCATCAGTCCTCCCGCAGTGTAAGTTTTCCTTTTTCTATATTCATCATCTTCCTGACTGTTAATCTTATAGGCTGTGTTTGTTTGTGGGTTTTAGTTTTTGGGTTTGAATTTTTGAATAGTAAAATGTTAAATTTGAATAGTTGTTTGATATGATATAAATAGTGGTTGATGTAATGTTTTGAATGTAAAATAAATTTAGGGTGTGTTTGTTTGGGGGTTTGGATTTTGGATTGAGATTTGAATAGTAAAAATTTTGAATTGGAATAATTGTATGATGTGATATAAATATGGATTGATGTGATGTTTTGAATGTAAAATTGATTTTTAGTATAATATAAAAAAATAAAAAATAGGTGTTTGATTTGATATTTTTGGGGGAAATGTTTTTTGTAAATAGTGGAAGTCCACCAAAGTCCTTCAAACAAACACACCCTTATAGTATAATATAAGAAAAATAAAGTAATTGGTTGATGTGATATTCTTGAAGGAATAAAAAATTCTAAATAGTAGAAACCTGAGGTAAAACACACAAAAGAACACAACAATAATGTCTCATTAGAGTTTTTGCTAGAGAATTAAGCACTTCGAACGTATGTAGTATCTATGCTGCCAATTTATCAAATTACTCTGCATATATGTATGAACACAAACCTTCTATTTGCTTGCAATTAGAATTCCATGGAGGTATATATGGTACCAAACTTGCATTATGGATCATAGAGACTTAAGCACTGATTAAAACGCATATTTGCAAAAAAGTTTAGAAATTTCTTACAGTATATAGTACAATGTGTGTGTGTTATGCAGTAGAGGGACAGAGGAACCAGCTTTCCAGGTGTCCAAGAAGAAGGCAGAAAGCTTGGGCATAAGTTTCACACCATTGGAGGTAAGCCTTAGGGATACAGTTGAAAGTTTAAAGAAGAAAAATTATCTTATTCTATAAATCACGCTCATTATCTAATCCAATATAGCTTTCCTTAATTAGATTGTAAATCTTTTAAAAATTAGCTAGTTCCACTTCAAATTTGTGACTGTTTTACTCTTTCATAATAATTTGCTGATTATGATATCATTTCCTTAGAAATTTTGTGAAAGAAGGGAACATTCAAAATAGAAGATGAAAAATCAAACCTCATCTTGATTCCCTTCTCTTAAATCTGCTATTGCATTGAGTGTAGAAACAGGCATATGTATAGAAATGAAAATTGGAATCGAATTATTTCGCATCAACTGAAGGTCTAGTACTGTCCTTGAATAGCTTGAAGCTTAGAGCGCTGAGCATTTCCCTTGAGTACTGCCTTGAACTCATCTTCCAGTCTGTCCCAGTCGTCATCATCGCCTTAAACTCAGGATAACTGATACGCCCATCCTGCATACATGCATGCATGTACTTTAGGCACGCCCATCTCATTTAAATAGATATTTGATGCGATATGATATGCGTGTAAAAAAGAGTGTTACTTTGTCGAGGTCTGCATCGCCTATAATGTCGTGTAGGACTTGATGATAGTTGGCGTCTAAATGGTCGCCTTCCAGGCACTCCTGCAGCTCGTCGAACTCAATGTATCCATTGTTGTTCTTGTCGAAGTGCAGGAAGGCTTGTCGCAGAAGCTCCTCGCTTCCGACCATGATTTTTTTCATGTGCACAGCTAGCGTCATAAACTCTTCACAGTCGAGTCTCCCATTCCCATCCATATCCACCTATTTAGTCGATTAATTCCTCATTAATCAGCACAGAAGGTGCAGGATCAGACCTATCATATATTAGTTAGTATCTGTACTTACAGCCTCGAATAGTAACTGAACATCATGGTCCGGAACAGATTGTCCCAACATACGCAGACCGTCCTTGAGCTCCTGGAAATCCAAGTTTCCATTTTTGTCTGTGTCCATCATCAGGAACATTTGCTTGATCCCCTTCACTTGTTCATCAGGCAAGTTTCCTGCTACTATCTGTACATGTGTGAATAATATGTTAAGAAAAGGGACCCGTTATGGTGCTCACGGGCTGCTTGTTAGCCTTAGTTAGAACATTATAACGATATATGCAATTTGGGCTGCGTATATCATTAATTCGGCAGCGGTACTGAACAGTACATCGTGTGCTATTAGACATAACATAATATGTTAATATAATACAAACACAACACATGAACAAAACACACATGCTATAGTCTCAACAACACACAATATTACTACAGACAGCACATTGTATATGTTAATATAATACAAATACAACACATGAACTAACAACATATGCTATAGTCTCATACAGGACACACAATAGTTGATTTTAGCATATGACATACTTGTATACAACACACTTGTTATTATTGAAAAACAGCACATACCTTTATTATACACAGCATGTGCTGTGTATAATACTAATGTATGTTGTTTGCATATATGACGTGTGCTGAATATATATTGATTCAGCGTATTAACAGCAGCCTGTTAAAAAGTCGGAATCAGAATGTCAAGCATGGTGCTTAAAATGATTATACTCACTCCAAGAACCTTCTTCTTGAACTTGTTCATCAAGGAGAACTGCTTGATTCTAGCCTGGACGCCCTCGCCCAGAGAAATGTCCGGTGCACTGTCCGCAAGCTGTATCCATTCGCTTGCTAATTGGATAATCATAGAACCATGAGTAGAAGAAGTATAGTAGTATAATTTGGAGACAATATAACGAGATAAGATAGATAGAGACCTAAGACTTGATCGACAGTGAGACGTTGAGACGGGTTCTGCTGCAGCATGCCTCGGATAAGGTTCTTGGCGTCTTCACTGATTTTAGGCCACGGATCCCTTCTGAAATCAATCCGGCCTCGCACGATGGCGCGAGCTATTCCCTCTTCAGCTTCTGCATCACACTCAGACAAGATGTGATCATATGTTGTGATTAATTGGTGTTTTTCTTGTAGTTAGTAGATTGGTAGTAATTAAGATACCTGCCCAGAAAGGAGGAACACCACATAAGAGGATGTAGAGAATGACACCAATGCTCCAAACATCACATTCTGGTCCATAGTTGCGCCTTAGGACTTCAGGGGCCATGTAGTATGGGCTTCCTACTAATTCATTAAACCTTTGACCTGAATTTACATAGTATTATTGAGTAGCCCTAATCAACAGCATATATCATGATGAACTTAATTCAGCACAAGATGCATATTAATATGGTAACAATTTATGCAATACTTGTTGATTCAATTCAAGTCATGCATTGAAAACTAAGTGTGTGGATGTTTACTAAACCTAATTATTAAGATACTGATTAGGCCTATCCACTCTTAACAATTCCACATTCAATGTGGGTTTTGTTTGTTTTGTATTTTTATTTGAAGGGATATTATTTTACGTGAGTTATAGAAAATTGAACAGATAATATGAAATAATGAGTGTGTATAATATATTACTCCCTCCGTGTTTAAACTAATTAGTCATCTTAGTCATTTATATTATAAGTTAATTATTTTTACTAATACATTCTTAATTGTTTACTAATTATACTTATCATAAACTCTGGTGTCTACGGTAACCAAGACACCCAATGTAGGACGTTGGGAGTAATTTTTTGTAGAAAATGTATTTGGAAAATTTTGTGTAAAAACACACACCTTTAAGGTGTGTTCCTCTCAAGTCATTAAACCATATGTTTTATTTACTTCAACATATGATATGTATGTTGTTGTTCACGTTGAAAAAAAATATCTAGTCTGTGTTTAGATATGTTTTAATGTTTTTAAAATAGTAAAAAAAATATAATTGAATTATAAAAATATAAATCTTTATTTAGGAGGAAAATATTTATTAACTTTTTACATTAACATAAAAAATAATACTTCATTCGTCCGCTTCTAAGCGTCACATTTACCTTTTGTCACATTTTTCTTTTGCATCATGGTACACAATATTAAAAATATTTTTATATTTGTATAATATTTTTTGTACGAGAGTATTTCATATGAAAGATGGATAAAACATATATATATATATATATATAACATCAAATAAGACAAAACAAAGTACTTTCTTATGAACATTATGAATATTTGATAAAATATAAATTGGTGTGAAATATGATGTTTTATATAAACAATTAAGTTTTGATATAATTTTTTAAGTAAAAATTAATTATTTGATATATATAATAATCTTTAGCTTTAACAGTTGATATATATTAATAATAATTTTAAAAAATTGTGTAAAGAGAGTGATATAGTTAGCAAGAGCAAAGTACATATACATATAAATAGATATAGATATAGATACCTGGTTTGAAGAATATAGAAAGGCCAAAGTCGATAGCCTTTAGAGGGGCGGTTTCAGTGTTGTCTGCATATAAGAAGTTCTCCGGCTTAAGATCTCTATGCATAACGCCATGCTCGTGGCAAACCTGAACCCCCCACCCAATCAGTTATAACTACACTATCTGCTTCCTATGTAGTCAATAAAGCTTACTCGACTAACTAATTGAATTATATTACCTTGACGACCTCGAGCATCGTCTTGATGGCGGCGGCTGCGGCGCGCTCGCTGTAATGCCCTCTCTTAACAATCCTGTCGAAGAGCTCTCCGCCCTGGCAGAGCTCCATAATAAGATATATTGCGTCCTTATCCTCGTAGGCGTCTTTGTAGGCCACGATGTTGGGATGCTTAGGCAGGCGTTTCATGATCTCCACCTCCCGCCTAACGTCCTCCATGTCGACGTACGTCTTCAGCTTGCTCTTGGATATCTTCTTGCACGCCGCGCTCTCTCCCGTCTCGCGGTCGCGGCACCGGTATGTCACCCCGAACTCCCCCCTCCCCATCTCCTTCCCCAGCTCATACCTCTCCGAGATGTCATTTTGGTAGGGATTTTTGAGCACGTTGAAGGATGACCGGAGCTTGTTGCGGTTCGGGTTCTTGAGGTTGCATTTTTGAGTATGATTGTTAGGGCGTTTGTTGCGGGAGAAGGGCGATCTACGGGCGAGGGAAATGCAGATTCCCATGGGATTATTATTATTATTGATTTGATTTGATTCGATTCGATTCGATTATTATTTTGATGTGTTATGATATATATAGAATCAATCTTTTTTAGCTATTGGTATTTATAAGTTTGGTAATCCCATGGGATTGGGATTGGGATTGGGATTGATTTATGAGAGAGAAAGAGAAAAAACATGAACAAAGAGGAAGATGAAGAAGATGATGGTGATAATGAAGAAAAAGGGTAGTTGTTGTTTATGGTTTGTGTATTCCGCATTCATCTCTCTGTCTTTCAATCTATATTTTTGTCTCACTAATTACTACTATAATTAGTTAGGCTTTGTGGTTTTTCTATTCCAAGAATAGAATCTCTTGTGTTGTGTAGGGAAGACAAATATATTCCAATGGAATTTAACCAAATTGAATTTTAGGTTAATCAAGAAATTTTGGTCCAATTATAAATATTATATATTATCTCCGTCCGACTCTGAAGGTCACATTTATTTTTTTTTTATTTTGATATTTGGATATTAATTATTACTTCCTCCGTCCCATCTCTATATATTCATCTACTTTTAGAAATATTAGTATTATATTACGATAAAGTAAAAATAAATGTAAAAAAGACTAAATTAACTCTATTAGTATTGTATGATATAAATATAATGATATTTGTGTAATATATTGTAAATTGGAAAGGTATTTGTAATGTCATGTAGATAGTACAATTAGTAAAAAAGGAAATAGATATTTTTCTATGGAACGGACCAAAATAGAAAAATTGATAGATTGTTAAGGGACGGAAGGAGTATATCAAAATGTAGTACAAATTAAAAAAAATTGCAAAAATTAGTGTGTTATAGAGGGATATTAAAATATAAATACGATCTTTGAGGCCGACAAATGGAGTATTAAATAATTGTTTCAGTCCAATTCATAACCATTAGTACAAAAGATTTATATTTAAGTAATTTTTAATTATTTTATTTTATATACATTTGAAAAGAAAATATATTGAAAATAAAAAAAGGAAAAAAATAAACTACTATTATTATTATTATTTTATTATATTTATCAATTTTTATTATTAAATCAATTTTTTTTATTTATTATCCCATTTGAACATATAATCCACGGACATAAAAAAAATATTAAATTATGTATATTTAATTTAAATTTTTGTTACAAATAATATTCAGTTTTTATAATAAATATTTAAATATATATGATTCATTTTCATATATAAAAAAGGATAATTTAGAGATGTGATAAAATTAATACTATACTTGATAATTATTGGTGTTAGTTTTGTGTTTTTAGATGATTTTCTTTTATGTTATATATAAAATTTCATATTAGTAATTATTAATATAAAACAATATGAGTATTATCATATCTTTTTAATATTTTATTTGTAGTTATTAATTCTTTCATATATTTTGTCATGAATTTTTACTTTTTTTATATACTCTCCTTCTCATATTTATTTATCCGTTTATTTTTTCACAAAATTTAAAAATATCAGTATTACAGTGAGAGATGAAGTAGAAATAAAAGTAAAAAGATTAAATTAACTCGATTAGAATTGTACTCTCTCCGTCCTAAACACCGTGCAACATTTGTGTTTGGCATAAAAATTTAGGTAGGGAGTACTGAATAGATAATTTGGATATTAAGTTACGTGATTAGAGAGAGAAATGGTTATTTGTTTTTTTATTTGAGTGATGTGATGGGATAAAGTGTGAAATGTATATAAATATTATTAATTATTTCTAAATTTGAAAATATAGCAGTAAATTTGGAACAAACAAAAAATAAAATTTTGCACGGTGTTGAAACGGAGGGAGTATGATGCAAAGGTAATGACATTGGTAGATAGTACAATTACTTTTAAAAAAATAATAAAAAATACAAAAAAAAATTTGATAGATTGTTAAATTATGTATATTATAAAAAAAATAAAAAATTACAAAAAAAATGTTAATATTGTTCATAAATAAAAAATAACTTAATAATATATAACTTAATATTGAGAATGAGCGTGTACTCTACCCTTAACCCCTCCTTAATTTAGGGTTGTTTTTTTTACAAATTTTTTTTGATACAATTTTCAATATATAAAATATAGAATATTATTTTTATATTACCTATACAATTCTCTGTACCTCACATAATATATATATATATTAAATCAAAACACTAGATAATAAAACCCTTACATTTTACCAAACAATTAAATTTCAGCCCATATTTCTTACACTCAACCTCTTAATCAGACTACTTTTGAATTCTTGACATGAGAATTTAAAATAAGTATAATCAATAAATAATAATATATTAGTAAAAATAATTATTATTTAATAAAAATAATTTTAAATTAAAATAAAAATAATTAATTAGGATAATTAAATTTTTTAAAATAAAATTAAAATGTATAATATTTTTTCAAAAAAAGAAAAAAAAAATGACCGAAGACAAAAATAGAAAGATGAATGTAGTATAATAATAGCAGCATATGAGACTCTCCTCCCCTGTGTTTTCATCATCATCTTACCAAAGCAAAGAAATCCAAGAATTACCTGAAACCAACCTATGCAAAGCCCTTTCTTTCTAAATGAGTGTGTGTTTTTCATAGATGATGATATTTAAAGGGAATGGAGAAACACATGCACTTGGACTTGCACCCACAAAGTGTACCATCCCTCCTATTTACATACCATCCATTCGTTCGTTCTTTCTTTTTATGGAACACCACCCACCACCCATGCCCACTTTCAAGACTAGCAAATTCCAATGATCTATAACACAACACAACACATCTTTCAGGTTAATAATATCCAAGATACCACAACACAGCATAGTATTGATTAAAAAAAACAGAAGAAGAAGACTTGTCATGTTTTCCATGCAAACCATTATCAACGGCGGTGGTGACACATCTGGCATATAGTCGCAGCTCGAGCATTGAAGTAGGTGCACTGTTCGCACGCCCAATTACCTGAATCGTCTGTGTTTCTTGCTGATGTCCCCGTCTTAGACGACCCCTTACCCCTTCCACCACCTTTACCCTTGCTGCTGCTCCCTGCCGCCGCTGTCGTTTTTGTCGACTTGTTAGAGGATGCTTGCGGATCAACATCTGAAAGACCGTTCTCTAGTGCTCTAACCAGATTTTCAAAGTAATTTCTGGTCACGCTGTTACAGAATCATAAGAGTAAATGTCATTCACCTTCGCAGAACTGAAAACAGGCCACAACAGGCAGTTATAAGAATGATTTCCGCAGTTCCTACAATCGAAAGCCCTTGGTCAAGTAAAACATATTTATATTAGACTCCAATCCGCATAACATTCACAAATAATTTAGATGCATCAGAGCCCTCACCAATAATGGAATATATACTAACAATAATGTCGAGCATTTCAGAACCAGAAACATGACCATTGAATCTATCTTCGGCACTAATCAGCAATAGGTGTCTAACATGGAATCAAAGGTTAAATATATCATCCAACATCCTCATTGAGTTTAGGAAACCAGAATTAACACTGGTTTTAATATATTTTGCAATGAACTTCAGACACCAAAACCATCTCGGTTCAAAAACAAAATCGTGCAAGTGTCATCTCCTTTTCCAAATAGATATGCCTTCTCACTCTCTCCAATAGCTTTTGCTGACCACACACTATAGAAGTTCCAAATCACCAGACATGTATATATCTCACAGCATGCGTTAAACCAGATCAACAAGACAAAGGGATGTGAAGAAATAAAAGTAGCAATAAGTTCAAGACACTAATCAATTTGATAAGTTAATATTAGAACATGTTCATATGACTGCTGCAATTTGCTACTTAGGAAACAAGCACATAAATTCCTTGTCGGAATGTAAAACTACAAGGAAAGAATACATCCAGATGACGGAAGAAAGGAAATCGAATAACTACCAAGACAGAACACAGGTTTCCAAATGCACCGCTTTTTATCGATAAAAGCATCATGTACAGAATGGCTTGTAGGAGTATAAATATTTACCTTGTCAGACCAGCAAGCTTCGTACGGAACTCATTAAAATCCTTTGATGGACCTTCAGAATTAAGGTAGTTCATAAGCTCTTTTTCTGCACACTGATGGAGCCTTTCCAGCCCAGCTTCCGCCTCACCTAAAAATTACACAGTTAGACAGTTCACATATAACTTCAACAAACTAGAGAATGTAAACAAGTTAGGAGAGAATACAATACCCTGCAAATATTCAAAGAACTGTTTCTTAGCAACTTCATGCTCGGCTAGATAATAGCCATAGGCATATGTCCACTTTAGAACTCTCCTACATTCAACAATCTGCACAAGTTTCAAAATACATGAATGGTTATTTCATAACACAACAATTAAATACAATAATAGTTAATTGCCAAGAGAACCAGATATTTGCATGGGCAGTAAACCTGGACCACGCAGGTCATCCTATAACATAGCACAGGACACAAATACATTTAAGCAAAGTTTAATTGACAAGACAACAGAATTTTAGCAAGGAATAGGCCATAACTTGTAATTTTCCAACAATATAGTGCAAAACAGCAATGCAACCATGGCAATGTAGATACATATTGAAGAATATGGAAGAAAAGGATCTCTTTGTAGGTACACAAGCACAAAATAATGAGCCCATGGAAAACACAAAAGAAGGCAAATCATTATAGCTTCTAATTAAATAAACATATCTTAACACATGAAATTATGACACAGAAATCATAATCCAAAAGTTCTCCTTATGCTAGTCCTTGCGAAATAAGACCAGGTAAAACTATAATCACTAAGTCTGAAAGATTTCCCTTTATTTTCCTTTATTGCCCTTCATACATTGGGGGACAAATTGCCCTTATTTCTTGCTGAATAGAGCCTATTTTGATTTGCAGTTACACCTTAACTACAACATATTCGGCATTCATTTGAGGATAATAAACTGCACTTTGTTGCCAGTGAATTTAAATATATATATACATATATACATATATATATAGTCATCAAATCAACTTCTGGAAAAACAAACTGCAGGCTATGTTAACTCTAGGGAAGTGTAGGAGGGGTAAAAAGAACTACTACAGAGAATAATCAACAAGAAATAGATAAACAAAGTAATTTAAAGAATATTGTCATGGCACTCACCTGCTGCCAAGCTTCTATAATAAATTTCAATTGTGACTCGGGTTGGGATTGTACTTCACTTAGCTTCTCAAGCTGAAAAAGAACCAATATCAAATAGAAATTCATTTAAGGAAAAAAAAAAAAGTCCTGCTACGAAGAAATTACCCATCATCTTACACTTTAATTTTTAAAATACAGTAGTCTTGAGTTCTGATGTTTCCCTCTAATTATTTTCTAGTGAAATTCTAGGTACTTTAATGGATGAATCTCACAGGCGGACAGGTGACTATTAAACAGGGGATGCACATGGGGAGTGATGTGGGATGCCTTCAATGGGCATCAAGGGAGTTAAGAGCTTGTTTTTGGCGCATTCTGACTGTCTCAACTTGATAAAAATAAAATACTAAGGCTTAAGGCCTAGGACTTGAACTTTGAACAGAGGTTTCCTAAGATAAAATTTCAGTTTCGTGTTTAAAAGTAAATTTGTGTTCACATAAAACAGATAAAACTATCACCAAGTATAAATAAATTTGCAGCCGCTGCAATAAACTAAAATTCTGAAATAAATAGACTAGTTGTAACAGGTTGCTTTCATGACAAAAGTCCCCAACTATTTGCTACTTAAACATAAAATCAAGCATCTTGGAGATGCCAACAAACATTTTCACTAAAAAATTATTTTTAACTAAAATAAGATATAGCCTTGAATTTTATAACATACTCGTCATTAAGGAAAATTACCAATAGAGAGTATTGATCATTAATAGCCCTTCCATTTGAACAAATATCTTGGAGATGCCAACAAAACATGCCACAAATAATATTAATATATAGCAGCAACAGAAACTTACATGTATACTTTGCATTTGTTGCAGATCTGCTAGAGCTTTCTGCCTCGACTGCATTGAAATGTAAAAACTTGTGGGTCATGTTAGGCAACAACAATAAGTTGAATTCATAACTAGAGAAAATGCAAGCATGCCCAAGATGCCAGAGGCATGATAAATCAGACAGGATCTTACAGCTGGTTATATTATAAAATAAGACAGTCAAGCTCTTTGAAAAAGCATTAGAGTGAAGATGAACTGATCTTAGCAAATCTAGTTGAGAGCAGTTAATTAAGATAAACAAAACCACGATAGCTTATCTCTAGCTGAATACAATAATATACTAACCAGCTATAAATAGAACAGATGCATTTTGAAGAACATCCACTATGAATGCTCCATCATTGTTATGCTTGTTTATTAAGAGTTTAAGACTGTATAAGTTACTTCCGAGAATATCCTTCGTGCAGAGTGATCAAAAACTTAAATGACTTCTATTCACTTAATGAGGATGATCGGGAGAAGTTGAATGTTCCTTTCTTTTTAGTGTGATATCTAAAATTTGCAATCAATTAACCACACGAGGTTAGTTAGTTGGAAAAACTAGTGGCAAAAAGGGCTTTGTATAAAATATTCGGTTCCAAATAAAAGAATATGCAGGCACCGTAGATACCAAGCGTTGAAAAGCGTAAACGCAAAAGGGGATAAAAATAGGAAAAGAAACAGTGCTGCTTGACAATGTAATTTAACATTTAAAGTAAAAGAAACATACTGACTGATTGGATGCCCATCGTTCATAATAGTGAGTATATCTTTCTAGAGAGTTCTTGGCCATCTCTCTCCTCCTCTCAGCTTCATCATACTATCAACAGAATTAGCTAAATAAGTCAAACACAGTATACTTGAAATTATACACGAGAAACAATGGTGTGTAAGCAAGAGACAGAACATAAATCTCTCCCAATGACTGCATACCACTCCTTCTTGTTTTGCTGCTTCGTAGCGGTTGCATGCATAGAAACCGCCTGTTCTCTCACCATGGTCCGACCATGCACCAAGACACAGCCTACAAGATGGAAGAAAATACATATAGTGCTGGATTTCTCAGATTTAGAAGTACTATGTTGTACAATTCCATACCAGCAAAATTCAAACTTGCATGGCGGTGTGCAAGTCATGTGCATGCATCCCTGATTCTTTTCAATCGGGCGCTTGCACTTGGGACAAGGCTTGGAGTTGGCCAATATCCTACAAATGACAAAATCAACATTAGTGATGCATTAAAAATCCAAAATTGCAATCAAGTACAAAACCTCCATCTATTCCTAATGGGAGTCTTTTTTTCAAGGTTGATTATTAGTTTTTCGAACTTTGAATCCATTTAGATGGATGTATGTGTGGTTGGGCTCGGTGTAATCAAGTATGAATCACACAACCCAAGACTATATTTGAAACCAAGCACTTTTGCAATTTTGACGGTTCACACTAGAAGAAGCAAGTACCAAATTTAAACATTGAGCCTTCACCCACTTGGCATATATTAAAATATTCATAGATACTCAATGATCAAGCAGGGAGTTAACATACGCAAAAGTTAATTGGGAAACCCCATTCACATCATGGGAAAATGATAGAATCCAAACATCTCGATTACATAAAGCAGATAAAAACAGGAATTTCTATGTCATGCCATCTCTCCCAATTTCTCTCTCCTGCAGTATGGTTTTCTATCATTATAATAAATCCATTTACTTTTCTCAACAAGAAAAAAATAAAAATAATATACCACAATACCATCAAGTGAACCCCTCATCTATCACCTAAATGTACAACTTGACACAAAATGACATATAGCATGTTTTTCTAGTAGAGAACACATATAATCAGTCTCATCACAAAGTCAAAATTGCTTTATGTCAATCACAAAAATGATAAAAAAATTCCCACCATTTTTTGTATTATCTCCAGTAAGACAGATGTCAAGATATTGAAAGGCTGTAGCCTGTAAGCATCTTATAACCTGATATAACTAAATATTGCATTATGAAACCCAACAAACTTAACAATTAGTTCTCCAAAATCACCTTGCACAGTACCCCAAAACTTCAAATATCAAAATCTTGTAAACACCAAAAATATCAAATCCTTATGAACAAAATTGGAGAAATAATTCTCAAACAAAAGCTGAACCAATCTGTCAAATCATGAAAAAAAATAAAGAAATTCTTACAGAAAGGAATACATGAATACATAAATAGTACAAAGAGAAAGAAATATACACAGAAAACAAATAAATAAATAAAAGAGAAAAACACATTAGATCAAGACGTCAATCTACCAATTCATGTTTTCCGACTCAGCACTGTTCTTCAAAATCCACTTTGCCACAGTATCACAGTCTACTGGTCGATGCGCTTCTTCTGTGCACTGATAATTCACCAGATCATAATACTTAATTACGAATTCTGATCAAGAAAAGGGAAGCAGTTAAATACATCTAAATCCCAACTCACGTTCCAGCAGAAACTATACGAACAACTGCAAGAGACATCATAGCTTCCACTACCAACAACGTATTCCACAGCAGAATCACAACCAGGGGCAGGACACCACTTAATCTGTAAGAAGCATTAACTAGTAATCAACACATTAGATAATAGAGGCAGTCTACAGGGTAGAAAGAAAGAAACCAAGAAACACAAACACTGCTAGGTATCTTTCAACTTCTAAAACTTGGCCCAAATACAGATATGAAACCATTAACTGCTGTCAACTGATTTGTATTTCATTTACAGCAATATACGTCCAATTTGGTAAACATTTCCGATATATAATAGCATCACCATGAAATTAACTTCACCAAACTAAACGAAGAACTTCACATATACTTTTTATTACTAACAGAAAACAATACGAATATATCGTAACAAAGGGATCAAACACATAAAAACGAACAAATATACAAGATTTGATGCATCTTCCTAACTTGTAGACTAAGGCATCATCACATGTAATTCTTATCATAGTGATAGAATCAGTGACATCAGAGTAGTAGAAACACTGAAAACAATGAAATGAAGTCCAAGAGAAACCTCAACGTGTAGCACAAATATTACAGGCTTCTCTCATGCAACTATGCAACAAATAGAAATAGAAATTCTATAGCATGCCTAGGTCCTTACTACCCAACTATATTGAGACTTGAAAAACATATCAAGCATAATCGAATCTTCAAAATACAGAAAATAGAGAATAATCAGTTTGGATTTCAACAAAATAAATTATTTCATTTAAACAAAAGAGGAAAACATCTACAGTATAGAAGAGGAATATTCATTCAAATACAGTGTAGAATTTCAAGAAAGGAAGTCGACCTTGCGGCTGTCCTCAACATAAGATCTAAGAAGATAACGGTGATACTTTTCCTTATCCTCATGAGATGAGAGTTTATCAATCATATCTTGGCCAACAGCAGCACCACAGGAAGGATCAGGACACCTCAGCATCAAGCATCCAGGGCCATCATTGATGGATGTACTGATGTAAGCTAGAAGAACAAACAGGTACGACAAATTAGCTATAGCCAACTTTTAGAATTGAAAAATAGGCATTACCAAGTAGCAAAACTAAGCAGCGTAAAAAAGGAGAGACATCCAGATTAAAATCATAAATCATGGTACATCTTTTCACATAAACATAACAAAATCATAATTTTCTACATCATTTCAACATACCCACAATGAATCAATTCTCCAAGAAGGCCAAAAACATACCCGAAACAAAAAACAAACAAAAACAACGAAACACAACTCCTTCAACCTATCATACCTACTAATATTGATGGTGTACATTTCCAAAAGGTGTAATATATAAACCAACAACACCTTTCATCACCTTGAAAGAGGAATAGCAATAATATAACACATAAAATTTTCAACATTCAAAATTACATAAATAAACATCATCAAGATAAGCACATAGCACAATCATTTTATTATTTTTTCAAGAATTTGACAAACCTTTCCAACATGTGTCACAGAAAAGATGAGCACATGCAGCAGAACGTAACCATTCACAAGGAAAGTTCTCGAAGCAAATCCCGCAAGCCACCTAGTCAGACATAAAATTAAGTTATACTGCATAAAAATAACGGAAATTTTTTGAATGAGAAATAATAACATGCAACTGTGGGACCAATGTCCACAAATAGATACTTACTTCCTTGAAATTCAAATTCTTAACCGGGGGTTTCTCAAAAATACCAACAGCTTTGCGAACTTTCTCTTCATCAGCAAACCATTCTTCATGCACATTATTCACACTCCTCCATAAACAATTAAGTAATATATTTAGATAATAGAAGTGAATCAGATCAGAGTAAAAGGCCAAAATACTATAAATGCAGGCAAATTATCAGTTGTAGCATATGAAGGTTTCAAAGCATGCTTAACCTAATACAACTAAAATTAATAATGAGGATTAGCCACGTGTACATATAATTTTACCGTATTAGTAAGTATATCTATTATGGAAATTATAGTACAATAAATTTATGTAACATATATAATTATGCTAAAAATTAATATAAAATATGTGCGAGAGAAGGCTGGATAGGAAATCTGGGGTGGGGACAGATAACACTGAGAAAAGAGAGACGGCAAAAGGAAAGTTCGCCCAGTAAAGATTATCATCCAGTTCAGCTATGTTATCTCCTCACCATTAATGATGTAATATATACATGTAGAGTAATCTCAACTTAGCAGAAAATTTCCAGGGTTTTCCAAATGCCACACAAAGCTTACCAGTTATAGCGACGTAAGAGTATGCATGCTGCTTCCCTTGAAATTGAAAGGACAGTAGAGATTTTTGTGATGTCTTCCTCTTGCCGCTGCCGCATATCCTCTTCCTTTAATACAGTATAGTTCTTCTGGAACATATAGAAGAATATATCACAAAAACTGAGGAAAGCTAATGTATTTTCAAACAACTTTTGAAAGCACCACAGATTTTTGCACCACTTACTCTAGATTCAATTGTAAACTAGATTCTAAAACCATGATTTCGGTGACAAGCCATACCCATATTTCTCTGCATATACCTTTAAAACTGAACTGCTGATCTTAGAACCACACAATCAAATTCTGATTTGAAAAAAAAAAAAAAATTGCAAACGCAGTTGATCTGATAGATGCAAAATCTCCTCTACCTTAATCATCTACCTGTGAAATTACTCATTGCCTCACTAAAAGGATATTCTATAAACAATCTAACCTTCTTCAACCCTAAAGAGTCAAAATAGTAAAACCACAATAATCTAGTTCAGCAAACACAGCCAAAATCCCGTCTTCCGAGCAGCAACAATCGGCATTAATGCTGCCCAGTGCAACGGACGATTAAAAGTAACCAAACAAAAACGAGGTCGATCTCCCCCAACACAAACCATATCTTTGCACATCAGTGGTGCGCATATTAATCATCAACTTCCCCCCATTCAAAAAAACGAAAAACGACATACATACCTGCGACCGACTAGCTATCGCATCGTCACCCTCATCGGAGTAATTCGCGATGAAGTCGTAATCCCCTGCATCGTCCTCATCGGCGTAGTCATAGTTGTAATCATCGTCGTCGATTTCGTCATCCATAGCCTCTGCCTCATCTTCTTCTTCTTCATCTTCGTCTTCTTCTTCCTCCTCCTCGCCGCCGCTGTAGTAGTCATCCTCCTCGGCAGAGGCTACCTCGTTGGCGTCGTGCATATCGTCATCGGAATCCATGGAAACCCTAGCAGGATTGGGAGATTGCAGCCGGGAATCAAAGCAGTGCAGTGCGGTTGGGCACTCTAATCGATTTTAGGGTTCGAGAGGTATATAGTGATGGGGGATATGCCTTGCCTTAGCTTTGCCTTTGCCTTTGCCTTTGCCTGCCGAATGCGATGATCACCTCTCCATAAATGGTAAAGGGATTGGACTTGCGGGGACTCCAATACTAATAATAATAATTAGTAGTATAAAATATTATTATAATTTACCAATTACAAATTTTATTAATTTTTTTAATTATAATAATAATAATAATAATAATAATAATAATAATAATAATATCATATAGGGTGTGTTTCTCTGTCGGACATGTTCGCATTTTTTTTGCGGTTGATTTTGCAATTGTTTTCTTAGGTATTTCAATCAAATTATTTTATTATAATAAATTTATAACTTTCATCTATTCGTAATAAAGTATTTAATTTTTTCATTTAAATTTGTCCCATAATATCTAATTTTTTTATTTTAGTCTGTCTTAATTTTCTCTTTTTAGTAACAGTATACTATCTACTTAATATTACAAATATTCTTATAATTTATAATATATTGTACAAATGAAATGGACAAAAATGATAAATAAGACTATTGTATTGGAATAGGGAGTATATATTTTATATATTTAAAAAATAATAATTTAATATAAAAGATTATTTTTATATTATTAAAATGGTAACTAATATAAAAAATATATCAAATTAAAAAATGCAAAGAATATATTTGTTGATATTTTAAGGGTGTGTTTGTTTGGGAATTTGAATTTTGAATTGAGATTTGAATAGTAAAAATTTTGAATTAGAATAGTTATATGACGTGATATAAATAGGTATTGATGTGATGTTTTGAATGTAAAATTAATTTTTACTATTATATAAAAAATAAAAAATAGATTTTTGAATTAATGTTTTTGGAGGAAAAATAAATAAATGAATAGTGGATTCGGGGGAAAATCCCCAAACAAACACACCCTTAATTAGAAAATTTTCATTATTTAATAAAAATATATTTTTTTATAAAATATAATATTAAAAAATTATTAAAACTAAAAATTATTATTTTAATTTAAAATCAAAACTAAATAAATCTAAAATAAATACACCTTTGGTTTTTTTAAAACTATTTAATTTCTTACAAAATTAAATAATTATTTTTTTAGCAAAATACTATCTTTAAACAAATATTCACATAAAAATTTGATATAGTAAAAAAATTAAATATTTGATGTAGTATTTTTATATAAAATAATTATTACTGCCTCCGTTCCAGACAATGTGCAACATTTACTTTTGGCACGGGTTTTTAGGTTTGGTAGTATTAAGTAGGATAATTTAGAAATTATGTGATGTGATGAAGAGAGAAATATATATTTTATTTTTTTTATTTGGACGATGTGAGGGGATAAAGTGTGGGGTATAATTAATTATTTTTTATTTTAAAAATATTGCAGAGTATTTATGATATACCAAAAAAGGAAATATCGCAGAGTTTGGGACGACGGGAGTACAATATTTTAAATTAAAAGAATGTGTATATTTTTAGGGATACGTGTTTATCTGATGACATTTATTATATAAATATAAATATTTTGTAGCAAACTATAATGTTCTTTTTTTTTTTTTTTGAAAAATTCATTTCTTAACGAAAAATGATATATTGCATGTTTTTATTTTTTATTTTATTTCCGCAATTTTCACTTGATACTAAAAAAATATTCAAATTATTTTACAAAATAAACATTTTTTTTTTATTTTTTTATTTTTTGGAAAGTATTGGATAAAGATGGCATAGTCAAAATAAAAAATAAAAAATCAAATATTAGCCAAGCAAATTAAATACTTGCCTTTTTTAAAAAAGTATTTGACCAAAATATATACTATACACCTCACCATATTAACTTTGTTTTAATCATTTTATTATACTAATTAAATTTTCCATATTATTTTATGGCGTATTAAATTAGATAAAATATCCCAAAAATATGAAACTCAATGTTACATTCAAAACGTCACGTCAACATCCATTTATATCTCATCATACACTTATTCAAATTCAAAATTTTTACTATTCAAATCTCAACTCAAAAATCAATAAAAGAATTAATTTTTCAAAAATTTCAAAATTACAAAATTTATTTATACATATAAAAAGGACATATATTGTTGGAAAATTTTATTGTTCAAATTGCATATTTTAAAGAATTTGCAAAATAATGAACTACAATCATACTCTCTTTTTTATATATATAAGCTTTTTAACATTTTTATTGTTCTCTGAAAGTATTTCTTTTAATATTTTACTAATTTTGTTCGTCTCACTAAAAAAATATTAATTTTTTATTATAGTAAAAAGTTATATACGAATATCAAAATTCTCTTGCTTTTAACATAAATTATAAATATATCATTACATATGTATATAATAAAAAGGACAAAACCGTTAAAATCACCTTACACATTTTTATTAATTAATAAATTATTAATTTTTTACATTTACTATAAAAATTCATAAAATACATTCCAAATTGGAGTATTATACATAAATATTGTTTTTTAAAAAATAAGTGTAAAAATAAGAGTATATTTAGGATGTGTTTGTTTGAGGGATTTTATGGAATTTCTACTATTCCCACAAAATTTTTTCTTAAAAAACATCAAATCAAACATTTATTTGTTATTTTTATATTATACTAAAAATCAATTTTACATTCAGAACATCGCATCAATTTTTATTTATATCACATCATACAACTATTTAAATTCAAAATTTTTACTATTCAAATCCCAACCCAAAATCTAAACCCTCAAACAAACACACCCTAACCAAATCGGGAGGGTGGGCTAGTCCATCCTTACCTTATTCAAAATTCCAATTTTATTTAGATTTATGTATTGATTTGAATTATTTTTTATATTTTAAAATTTTGAATAGGTACGAATTGATATAATAAATTTTTGAATCAATCTAAAATTCAAAATTCAATATATAATAATATATTTTATTATATATATTAAATCTTTTAATTAAATTATAATATTTCTATAAAATATAAAATTCATAGTTATACTTCCTCCCGCCCAAACAAATATATTTTTATTCTCATTTTTTATTCGTCCAATGAATTTACTTTATTACTAAATTTGACAAAATTAAAAAAAATTAACACTTAAATATTACTCTATAGTTAATTTTTATTTACAAAAATATCACTAACTTTATTACATTATCTTTTCATAAATTTTAATTATTAACTAAAAAAAACCCAATTATCTTTTTATTTTTCTTATTTTTTCAATAAAATATTATTTTTTAATATTTGCACTGAATCCAAATATATAAATTTTACCGAACAGTAGGAAGAATTAGATAATTTTGACATTTTCACCTTTTATATTTATATATATATATGTAATAGTATATTTATTATTTATATAAAAACTAAAAGTATTTTGGTAATTCTGTTTAATTACTTTTATTTGTAACGTAAATAAATAATTTTTTAATGATACACAAAAAATAATAAAAATATTATTGTCAGTTAGGACGGGGAATATTAATATATATTTTTTATTTTATACATTTAATACTTTAATAAAAATATTTAAAAAGTAGAAATAAACAAAATTTATATTTTAAAATATATTGTGCAATTTTAAAATTTTTAGTTTGGTTTGGATTTTATAATTTGAATTTCGGACAATTAATTTGGTTCGGGCTGATATTTTTCAAAAAATTCAAATTTTCGAAGTAGTTCGGATTTAACAAAATCGGAATGCCCTAGTAGCCACTACCGTGATGATTTGTTTCCGTCTCTCGACTCTAGTTTATGGTAATTTTGTTTGAATCGTCGTGATTGACATATTATTACATACTATTATTTACTTTATTGCGTCAATAATTACAAAAATAATACTGAAATTGCAAACCAAATACTTTTACACGGGAAAATATGGCGCTCAGGAATATTACTTTTTCATTCAATACCATAATTATCAATTTGATCTCATTAAAAAAAAATTATCAATTTTGGTCCAACTCAAATAAAAATTTATCAATTTTAGTCCCAAATCGGTTGACTGTTACTGAACACGGCCGTGTTGAATGACTCAGAAGATAACCGGTCGTCCCAGGCAGCCAACACGGCCGTGTTGATTACCCTGCACTTCTAAACACGGCCGTGTTCCTGCCCGTGTTCTGAACACAGCCATGTTTCTGTCCATGTTCCTGTCCATGTTCTCAACACAGTCATATTCTATGCCATGTTTCTGCGCATATTCTCAACACAACCATGTTTTAGGCCATGTTCACGACCATGTTTCAATATAATCATATTGTAGGTCATATTTATTAATTTTCACTTTTTGGTTAAAATTATTTGATATAAATATATATATTTATAATTCAAAAAAAATATTTTTTACAATTATTTCATAATATAAAAAATAATCAATTTTTAATATTTTAAAAATATATAAAAATAATAATATATTAATATATTTTTAATAATCATTATATATTTTTAAAAAAATTTATAATAAAAATTTTAAAATATTATTTTAAATTAATTATTTCTATAAATTATAAATTAAATTTATTATTCAAAACAATATTTTAAAATAATACTACTTCCGTCTCACATTGGATGTCTGGCTCACGGTAGACACGAGAATTTATGATAAGTATAATTAGTAGATAATTAAAAATGTATTAGTGAAAATAATTATCATATAATATAAATAATTATAAATTAAGATTAAAATAACTAATTAAAATTTAAAAACATTAAATTAAAAAATAGTGTGTAATTATTTTCCAAAAAAGAAAGTGACATGGGATGTGGGACGGACATAAACTGCAATGTGGACATGGTAAGTGGGACGGAGAGAGTATTATTAAAAATATATATTAATATATTATTGTTTTTATATATTTTTAAAATATTAAAAATTGATTATTTTTTATATTATAAAATAATTGTAAAAAAATATTTTTGTTGAATTATAAATATATATATTTATATCAAATAATTTTAACTAAAAAGTAAAAATAATAATAAATATGACCTACAATATGATTATATTGAAAACATGGTCGTGAACATGACCTAGAACATGGCTGTGTTGAGAACATGCGCATGAACATAGCCTAG